CTCTGCGTTGCCTGCAAGCCAGCAGACAGCAATTTGAAACCCTGAACTGAGCTGTCTGGATTTTCTCTAAGGGCAGATGTGGGTCTCATGTTAGCAACGCCAAATTATATTAGACATTTAATTTTAAACCTCAGGTACTTAAATATAAAACCTTACAACAGTAATAGTCATAAAGCAGTAGGGCATTCCATCTCACAGAATGGATTCTTCTTTTCATCCCCCCTTAATTTAACCAGCTCCTCCTGTTTTGTAAGTTGCCCACCACAAAGAAATCCATCTAATTACGAGTTGCTCACAGCTGCTTAAAAGGCAGAGACCTTGGGGGTACCTGTGTGTGTTAAGAGAGGCAGACTTTGGAAAGTTCTCTAGAACCAGTATTTTAATTTAGGGTGGACAAGGAGGCAGAGAAACCTTGAGTCCTCATGTTGTTGTTGTTGTTATTGTTATTATTTTTGAGTCATGGTCTCACTCTGTCATTCAAGCTGGAGTGCAGTGGCATGATCACGGCTCACCATGGGTTTCGAACTCCTGGACTTAGGCAATCCTTCTGTCTCAGCCTCTTGAGTAGCTAGGACTATAAGCACAAACATGCCTGGCTAATTTTTTGCAGAGATGAGGTCTCACTAGGTTGCCTAGGCTGATCTCAAACTCCTAGGCTCAAGCAATTCTCTCGTCTCAGCATCCCCACAGTGCCGGGACTACAGGCGTGAGCAACTGTGCTCAGCTTATTATTACTATGTTTTACAAAAAAAATGTGTGACAGTGGGAAGGCATACTTGCCATTATATGAGTATGGATACTCAAAAACTGCTTAGCTGCTTCCCATTCCTGCTGCAGGTGTAGAGTAAGCTTTTTATGACTCTGATATCCAAACCAGAGACTGGGGGTGAGGGGAAGATAAAGTGATTAAAAAAAGGAGGGGTAGGCTTTTATCATCTACAGCTTAAGAAAAAAAGCATGACAAAAAGCCCTCAATCATGTTTGTTTCTTTTGTGATTATTTTTCAACACAGGAAGAAATGTTTATACCAAAGTTGAGGTCTTGAAATCCATTCACGAATATGTTTTCTTGAAGTTGCCCATCAGCGCCTGTGCCTTAGTGTTGATTAAAAATTGCTGGGGTCAGCAATTCCCCTATTGGGAATATACTCGAAGGAACTCAAAATCATTCCACAAAAAAGATACCTGCAGACGCATGTTTGTTGCAGCTCTGTTCACAATGGCAAAAACATGGAACCAACCATGCTGCCCATCAAAGCTGGACTGGATAAAAAAAATGTGGTACACATACACAATGGAATATTATGCAACCATAAAGAAGGACAAACATATGGACTTTGCAGCAACTTGGATGGATTTAGAATCGATCATACTCAGTGATCTAGTACAGAAACAAAGAACAGAGTACCATATGTTCTCACTCATAAGCGGACCTTGAACAATTATTATAACCCTATACGAAAGGAATTGGCAGTAGTGGGAAATTGCCAGGGAAGGGGGGGCGGGATTGGCAGCTGAGGGAAACTGCCAGGGGAGGGAGGAGCACACCTCATCAACAAGGGTACCTGCATAATCAGTATTTGTATACTAGCCCTGAATTGTATCCCATATCCTTAAAAAAAATTGCTAGGGTCTGACCACTTGACAAGTCAATGCACTAAATGCAGGGATGGTGCTAACTAGAAGGAAGCCTGGGTGGTAACCTCAGCACTGACAGACAGGGATGTGTCTAGCAGGCCTGGGTGGAGCCTGCAGCTCTGCATTACCCGTCAACCCCAGGAGCTGTCAGATGTCACTGGGTCTCCGTGGATCACACTTTGGGAAGCAAAGATTTAGAGCAGCAGTTCTCAAACTTCAGGGTGCCACATAATCCCACACAGGGCTTATTAATATGCAGATTACTGGATCCTGTTGCCCGAGGTTTGGATCAGTGGGTCTGAGATGGGGCCAAAGAACATGCATTTCTGAGCAGTTCCCAGGGGCTGCTACTGGTCCCAAAAGCACACCTTGAGAAGCAATGCTGGGTAGCTGAATAAGGCCACCTGAGCTCAAATCCTGGCCCTTATCAGCATGTAACTTTGGACAAGCCCTGTTTAACCCTTCAGTACCATTTTCCTACCTACAGAATGGAACTCACAAAAGGACCTGCTTTGTAAAGATCAAATGAGATTGTCCACATAAAACCCTCAATAAATATGAGCTCTTAACCTTTTCCAGAAATATTTGGGGTATGACATATTATTAATCTTTGGAAAATATAGGCATCGAGGAAGATCCCTATAAAACTGTAGGAATCATATTTCTGCGTACCATTCTGTTGTCTTTCTGGATCTTTGCTCTTTAAAATGTCTGCTCTAAGTCTTAGAATAAGATGCAAATTTAGCAGTTTGGGTCTCTTGATACTCTTCCAGCCTCTCCTTATTTTGCTGCACTCCAACTAATATCTTACACTCTATTGTGGCTCCTTGGTTGTTCCATTTCCTGTTTCCTCCTCTCTGAGTGAGTCTTTGTCCAAATTGCCCCAATGCTTATAAGAACTTCCTCCTGTTTTGTGCACGCACCCCCCGACACACATACCCCTTTCTGGTTCTTTAAGCATGTCTCAAATTTGATTCTCTTTGGGAAGTTTTCCATGATTAATCTATCAATCCTTACATTGACTTGAACAGTTTCAGCTCTGGGCTTTCCCTACAGCTCTCTCCATTCCTGTGCCTCAGTAGGCTGACCCCAGGGCATACACTTTTGTTTCTTTTCTTCCTTGTTCAGGGTTTAAGATCTGTGAGGTCAGCAAGCATACTGGTCTGTTTAATGTACTCTCAAGTGTGTTAATATACAAGAAATTGCTTTGGAAATATAAGAATAGCATTCAAATACAGGTGACTTCAGTTTCATGTGGGCACTGTATAAATACACGTACACAGACCAATGCAATTTATTTCCATGGAAAGAGACTTCCACCCAAACCAAGAGTCTTGCAATGATGGAGTCTCACAACAGAGTGGTGTGGAAATGCCTGCTGTCCACACGTATAGCTCAAACACAAAGAGCTACTATGTAGAGGGAAAGTTACCCACTGAGTCTTTATCAAATAGTTAAATGTGCAAAAGGCAAATTTGTGTAGAATGAATTTTAGAAGAACATGCTACTTCAAACACCTTTTCTATAAAAATATTCTGAGCAAAGATTGGGGTGATGGTCTCTCTCAGGAACTTGTTAGTCAAATTTGCTTTTCTCCCCAAATACAACTCCTGTAGTAAGAAAGGACTAGAAGCTAAAACCTGCCACTCTCATCAGGCTGTGCTGCTGCCTTAACAGTTCTCACTCAGAGAAGGAAAGCTTTCAGAATGCAGAAGCTGCTCGACAAGGCAGGGCTTCACCCTTGTCATGTCTGCACCAAGCTCTGGGAAGGCTCAGCGTGGAGCTCCTGAAACATGGCTCTGTGGGAACACACTTTCACAGGAAGGCAGTGACAGAACTAAGCTTCATTGAACAGGAATACTAATCAATAATCAATATTTTAAAGTATTTGATGATGATGCAATAGATACTCAGCAACCAAAAGCCACATTTCACGTGTTGTGCCATATGCCTAACCAAGACACAAGAGAGGGAAGAACACGTCCACTGATCAGGTAAGAAAACAGCGGCTCTCAGAAGTACAGAGACTTGCTCAAGGCAGCCTAGTCGGCAGGTAGTGGGATCATGGCTGAGGCACACACAGGTCTAGTGAAAAGGCCGACTCTCAGGCTTTCTGGGGCAGGTGATAGTTATGAAGGAGTAAACTGTAGGTGGTTAAGTTATAAAGACTTATAACTTCCTTCTTTGGGGTTCTCAAGGTTTCATCATGATTCCAGATGAAAGTCAGAGAGACTTGAAGCACCCTGGAGGAGGCTGCAGGCCAACCTTTGCTATCTCTCACAGGGTCTTCTTGTGAGGGAGGAGCCCTGGAGCTAGGAAGAGGAAAGGGCCAGGACAGTGGTGTGCACTCTCTGCATCTGCTCTAAGTCACAGGCTTTTCTCGTCCCGCACTATGGCATCCTTCGGAGCTGTCTTACTGACTCCACTCTTCCTTGGTTTGGAGATGTCTTCCTTGAAGGCTTTTGCTTGGCTGTGTCTGCAGAGTGTGGAGTAACTAGAAATAAGGATGATGTTTACCCAAAGTGAGCGTCCTGCTGCAGCAGCTGGTGGGTCTACAGGGAAGACCTGATGCTGAATTTTTTAATTAGAACAAATTATGCTAAGATTACTCTAAAACCCTGTCTGATAGATTGCATACAACAGTGGGAATTCCTTTAAATACCGGTGAACAGGCCACAGACAAAATGCCACAGGCAAAGCATGCTGTAGTCAGCCAGTGTGCCCCGATGCTGCATGCTTCATGTTTCATACAACGCCAAGACAGTTTCCAGTGTGCACATTTGTCCTCAAGAAGCTGGATGCACTTGTCTCTCTCTCTCTCTCTCTCACACACACACACACACACATAAATAATAACAACGCTGAAGGATGTCTAGGGCTGAGGGATTGTAGAGGAACTCCCTTGGATTTAGAGGGTATACCAAGAATCCTGGAAAATGGACAAGGAGATGGAGTTAACCCTAGCAACATAAAATGTGCACTAATGGTGGGAGTGTATGTCATGCCTTGTAGGGCACTGTGTTTAGAGACACAAAATCTAATGTTATTTCTCAGCTCCACCACCTCTCTACCATGTGACCCTGGGTAAGTCACTTGCCCTGTACGCAGCTTCAGTTTCCAAATTTGTCAAAACAGGATGAATGTTTACTCCCTGTGCAAAGAGAAACAGATGAGATGATATGGGCAAGACAGCCTAGCAAGGACAAAACACTCTCTAGATAAGAGGCTCCACAGCTGTAGAGGCCCCACAGGGCACTGTGCTCCAAGAGGAGCACAAGAGCTTAGGGTGTCACGTCCAGCCCCTGGCTTACAATGAAGGACCTTGAGGTGGCCGCGGGTCCGTGGGGCTGTGCCCCCTCTTACCACTGCTGATGGCCGAGTTTGCAATGACCGTAGCCTCACTCCACTGGTCGGCACTGGAGACTGAGTAGGAACGCTGGTGCATGCCGTCGGGTCGGCTGTTGAAGGAGACCAGGCTGATGCCGCTTGCCATCTGAGACCCAGATGCACTAGTGACATTCCCTAGGAATAAACAAGTCAGGTGAACACCACGGCGGACGGCAGACCACAGAAGCCAGCACGAGTTAGTCTATGGGGCTACACGCTGGCACACAATGTACCCTACTGCCAAGAGCAGTCCGCATCCTGCCTACGTGGCAAATGAAAGCATCAAGCAGAAACTATTCAAGAGGAATAAAAGGGTGCTGCAAATCCTGATGGTGTTTGCCAAAGCAATGTGAAGGTAACCGATGCTTCAGATGATTGCATACAACACAACCCTCAACAAAGACATGCAACCCAACTACCATCTTTACATCGAGAGGAGAGAAGACAACAGGCCTGGTCATTTCCTGGAAAAGCACCACTACCTGGGCCAGCAAGACGGGTGCTCCAGGAGCCCAGTCATGCCACTGTATCAATGAAACTGAAAATGATCACCAACTGGGAGTCGACTGGTGCCAGAGGACCATTTTCATGATGAAGTTATGCTTTATGATCAACACAAATCAAGGTCTCTAGACACAACATGAAGGAAACAGACTCTTAAACCAGGTAAGTTTACTCTTAACCTTGAAAAGACTAAGAGAGGAAATATAACCTTAGCGACTTCATAGCACACATGGGCTGTGATGAAAAATGATTCCATTGTATACTTAATGATTTGAATCAGTTGCTTAACATCAAAATGAATTATTATCTGGCCACACCAATTTTAGACTCAAAAACATAATTAAGGGCCTTTCTCTAAAGCTCAATCAGACCTTGCTGCCAGTGAGTGAATCAGTTTGTTAGACCTATATATAGATCTTCAGAGGTATTAGAGATTTTTAAAAAACTTTCTTCCAATTGTCTTAGTTCCGAACCAATTAAGTTCCAAACTGTTTCAATAGAAGTTTTTCATGGTACAAGATTTTAAATACGCAGCCCATATTAGTAGTTCCTAAATCTGGCCAATTACCAGAATTTCCCGTGGAGCTTTTTAAAAATAGAGGCTTCAAAAAATACAGATTTTGATTCAGACGCTCTGGGGATGGGGCTTTGGCAGAATATGCATTTTCAAAAGCACTCCAGTGCTTTGGATGAGCAGCCAGAGATAGGAACCAGGGCTCCCCTCAAACAAGCGACCCCATTGTAGTCCCGTGCAGCACTGGGAAGTCACAAAATCATTTCCTGAAGCGCAGTCTGTGTGCAGTACAACAAATAAGCGATTAACAAAAATGAAGGGTTTAGCTTTTAAAAATATATTTCTACCTTTAAAAAAATGTGTATTTTATGCTGTTGTCTGAACTGAGTACATTTTGAATGTCATATGGGAAATCCATTCATAGGCAGGTCTTGCTGATTCCAGAAAAAAGTCAAAAGTGACACCCAGGAAAGGGAAGAACTCAAGGGCCACAGATCTTCCTACTCCAAATGCGGTCCTTGGACGAAAAGCAGCAGCATCACATGGGTAAATATTAGCAACACAGACTCCCAGGTCCCAACCAGCACATCTTAATAAGATTCCCAAGTGATCTGTGTACACATTCAAATTCGAAAGGATATGTTATGGAGCTCAGATTAAAAAAAAAAAAAAAAAAAAAAAAAGAACCATGCCAGAAAATACTAATGTGAAACAAAAACTACCATAAAAACTCTCCACTTCCACAGACCATTGCTGTGCAAGGTGCTCAGTTGTGGGGAGCCTAGGGCTGCAGGTCAGAAGCCTTGGAGCTTGGCTTTCCTGTTCAGGTGGAGGGTTTTGAGGCAGTTTTCTCATTCCCCATCTCTCAGCCCTTGCCAGGTCTGAGATTCTTGGGCGTGCTGATATCCTATAAACACACAATGCCAATGAGTGTTTCACTTCCTGAATGACAATGCCGTGCCAATGCTCCAACCTCTGCTCCTATGCCCAGTCTCCCAGCAGCCCGGGGAGGAGGGTCAAGTATACAGCATCTCAGAAAGGTAGAGGAGCAGCCTGGTGAGGTGGGACCAAGAGGAGCACTACACAATCCTCCCAAGATTCTCCATGTGCCACCACTGAGGCCACCCAGTGGATATCCTCTGGATATGGTGTGCCTTGACAGATCCCTATCATAACAGGGCATTCAGACCCCATAGCGGGAAGCATCCCAGTAGAGCGAATGACACGCTCTCATCTGCAGGGGTGTGGCTGGGTCTCTTTCTGCAACCTGTGCCAGCTATGCTCCTGCTACATCCCCTTCTCTGCCCTGCTCTCCTTTTGAGAGGGCACCTGTATGAGCTGCATCCGTCAGTTCCAGAACCTTTAGTCTTTTTGCTAGGCTGAACCAATGGGAAACACAGCAGGAATACAAAGGATGGAGGAGAGGCTGTGCGTGGTGGCTCATGTCTGTAATCCCAGCACTTTGAGAGGCCGAGGGGAGAAATGCTTATGCCGAGGAGTTCAAGACCAGCCTGGGCAACACAGTGAGACCGCATCTCTACAAAAAAATTAAAAAATTAGCCAGGTGTAGTGGCACATGCCTGTAGTTCCAGCTACTCAAGTGGCCGAGGAGGGAGGATTGCCTAAGTCCAGGAGATCGAGACTGTGGTGAGCCATGATTCTGCCACTGCATTCCAGCCTGGGAGAAAGAGTGAGCTACTGATTGAAGGGGGGAGAAAAAAGAGGAAAGAAAATGAGATAAGAGTGTTTATTCCTGGGCTCTCTCCCCAAGCAGCTGCCTTTCTCAGGGAAACCTGCTCTTTCCTTGGCCCTTGGGGCCCATGGGTGGTCCCAGTGCCATTTCTGCCAGCCCTGGTGCCTGCACTGTACTCTATGCTTCTTTTCCCTGTGGAGATTCTGACCCCACACATTAACCAACTGAAGCTGCATTTGGGGAAGAAGTGCCTCCCAAGAGTGGGTCCTGGTGCTCCCTTGACCCGGTCCTGGTTTCATCACGAGATTTCTAAGCAGACAAGGCTTCAGGACATTGCTAACAGGGAAGAGGAATCAAAGAAGGTGGGAAAATAGTAAAAAAGAGCATTGAGTAGATACGTGCAAGTAGGGGTGAGATACCTTCTCTGCTGTGACCCTGACAACTACCCTGGGCACTTCTGAGCCCATCCTGCCTGCAGGGACACGTACCATGTGGTTCAAATGTCAAGGACACGATTCTCTCCTCACTATAATGTCCATTAGGACCCCTACTAGTCATTATCAAGAATCTATCTACAGGCTCCATTTTATGCCAGCTTTAGGCACATAAGGTCCAAACACCTGAAAAAGAAAAAAATAATTTCACTCTGTCCATCCATTTTTGGGTTGATGATGATAACATGGCACAAATGCTCGTGGTGCGGCCTCCTTTGCTCACTCTCCCTTGAGAGTGATTTTCTGAGGACAACTAGTCTAAAAACCTTCCAAAACAATTTCCTTTAAAAGACAGAAGAAATTGTTTGAGTATATCTACCACTGACTACTTAACCCAGACTGGGTTAAGCTTACAGATACATCTTTGCTTAGTTGACAATAAATTTTTTTCCAAGTAGGATTAAATTGGGAGATTTCATCTTAAAATCTGTGGTTTCTGGCATTGCTTGGAAAATGAGAGCATTTATCTAGCAGTCGTGGGCCTGTGTTTGTGCTCGGAAACAATAAGCTGACAATGTCTCTCTCAGAATCTATCTGTAGGATCTGAATAGACTCTACTGTTGCCAGAACTCACACCTACCTTACTCCACCATCCCAGCACCCCTAACCACACCCTCACCATCCTTCCCCACCTCCCCACTCCCTCTCAGCAACCTGCCCACTTTGCTCCTGTCCTGCCTGATCTTTGGTTACTTTGAATTACAAAACCTTCCAAAAATATGCATAGGAAGATTTTCATTTCAGAAAGAAAACATTTCAGATTTTCTCTTAAGGAAATAAATCTCTTTTTATATATAGTCTATTTAATATCAGTTAAATTCCTTTTTGGAAAAATCAACTGTGACATAAGGAAACAAAAGTATTTTCTGTGATGATACGGAAATATATTTGTTTAACTGAAAACAAACACAAAAATTATGGAAGGTAAGAAATATTGTTTCTGTCCTAAAAATGTATTTAGGGATCCACGAACTGGTACTTGCCTTTAAATGCAGATGCATGCAGACATCTGTTTTAACTTTGAGGCAAATCAGTGGTCCACAGACTGAGCTGAGACACTGCAGAAGCCGCTGTGCTGGCTTAACGGGTCCCCAAGTGTGAGTGGTCCCAGGTCAGTGGTCACACTGTGAGGCATTTCTACTTATTTTCAATAAATCCATCAAAGAAATGAACAACTCCCAAATGTTTAGTAAATATTTTTAACAACTGTACACATTACAAATCTAATTACAGACCATAATTTTCTTTTTAAAATGATTCCCTCCTCTTCAATAGATCATAATTTCTAAAGCTTATTTTCATACACACACATGCATACACATAGTCTAATATGAAGCCTCATTTCTGTTTCTGAATGAATATCATTAATTGACCAGGTAATATTGTCCCTGTGTCTAGTTTTTTTCTACGTATATATCTAGCAATTCCTGCCCCATGTGTTACCACACAGGGAGTTTTCAACACTTTTTTGAAAACACCTTTAAGCATAAAAGAGAGATGCTGTGTTTAAAAATCACTTGATTCTCTCTCAAAGTACTCAAGGGTACAGTTTTCACTGAATGGTAATTCATTTCATGTTAACAAGTTATTAATTAAGGCTGAGAATCTGAAGTTCTCATTTGTGAAAGAAGCCAATGACTATCTGATTGCCTGAGACGTAGGGATCTTGACATCAAGACCAGCTAAGACACAAGTGCACCTAAACACTGCTCTAAACAAAGTCAAGGTCAGCCCCAAGTGCACCAGAACATTGATACCTAGCCTCAGCTCAAAGCAGCCCAACCTGGGCGGAGGTCTCTGTGGCTGGTAATCAGGTTGAAGGGCTGAGGACCTAAAACCCACCTGGCTACCAACAGTCAAAGACACTGAGCTCTGGTGCTACTATAATGACTAGTTAAATTCTTACACCTATACCTGATAGCTAAAAGGG